GACGTGCTTTTCTTGGCCCACGGTTTCTAATTCTTCCAGTGGGCGTGCCTTTACAAGGCAATTCTTTGCTCCAGAGTGACCTCTGGACATTCATGTACTTCCCTTTCTCAATCGGGGCATGTGTTAGTTGGACACTGTTTCTGTGGTCACCCCGTTAACTAAAATAAGCGTCCATTGGGCCATTCAGCTGTTTGAGACTTTACCTCCCATTAATTTCCCTGATAAAATGTACTTGAGAGGAGTGTGAGTGCTTTGGGTAGCAATAGGGTCCGTTCCTGTGAGCGGCTCAAAAGATTGTACTGCCCAGACGGCTGCTAGACACGTTCACAGGGGTCAAAATGAATTTCTGCTCCTTGTAATTTCCTGGATTCAATTGCTACCGGCACTCGCTTTCCCTCTTCATTGTTTTGTAATAGTGTGGCAGCCAAGGCCATGTTATTAGCCACCAAAAGGCTGATTCATCAGGGAAACGCAGGGCTGGGCCTGTGAGAGCCTTGTGCTTTAGCTGAGTTAAAGCGGGGTCCTGCTCTTCTCCCCATTCCCATTTGGTCTTTTTCTTTAGCAGTTTCCACAAGGGATGAGTTATTTCAGCATATTTATAAATGTGCGGTCTAAGAAAATTGAATCCCCCTAGCATTACTCTTAAGGAGTGGGCGTCGGTAGGGACCGGCATTTCTACCAGTGCCCTCACCTTCCTCTGATCTACCTGTCTCCCTTCTTGTCCAACGACTGCGCCCAGGTGTGCAACCTGAGGTAGCACCAGCTGAGCCTTGTCTAAGGCTACTTTGAACCCCGTTTCCCGAATTTGTGCCAACACTTTTTCCATTTGCGCCTCAGTTTCCCCAAATATCAAAATGTCATCTACATATGAACACACAAAAGGCCTTTCCTGTGGGCTCAACGGGTCTAGCAAATCCACAACATGCCGATGGGCAATAGCCGGGCTGTTGTGATATCCCTGGGGCAACCAACAAAAGGTCCGTTGTTGCTCCTGTATGGTAAAGGCAAATGGATCTTGTGAGTCCGGATGTAGGGGGGTGGCAAAGAAACACTTGGCCAGATCAATAACTGAGAAATATTTGGATGTGGCCTGCACTGTTTGTATGACCTGTGTCATACCAGCCACAATAGGAGCCATAAGGATGATGCCCTTATGGATTCTTCTATAATCAATGGTTAAACACCAGGATTGGCCGTCTGCCTTTAGCACTGGCCACACAGGGGAGTTAAAGGGTAAATTTGTTTTTTGAATGACCCCTTGTTGTTCTAAGTCCTGGATGGTTTGCACCAATTGGGGCTCTGCCTCTCTCGGGTAGGAGTATTGTTTTTGAGGAGCACAAATTCCCCAACGATCTTAACACAAGCATTAATTTTACCGCAATCTGTTTTCTTTACGTCCATATTTGTTGAGCTGTAAGTGAGGCTACTGGTATCTCTCCCCCTTTTGTTAATATAACATCCTGCCCGATTTTTCCTGAATGGGGAGGAGGAATTTCTAACTTCCAGAGAGTACGTCTGGGCATATTGATTACCACATTGCTTTTGAACAACCAGTCAGATCCCAGAAGAATTTCATCAACCATATCGGGAGTCTGGATCAAATCCCCTAATGTCTCAAACGCTTGCACCGAAAAGGGGACTTGGATCCATTCCCACCCAAGACTAGATTTCCCTTGAAAGGATTTCAAAGCGACCTGTTTTAGTCTCTTTCCTGCTTTTGGGGTTGTTCTGATTAAGGATACAGCGGCTCCTGTATCTATTAAAGCTGGTGTATGGGTATATCCACCCTGCTGAACGTACACACATGGTTTTCCCCTGGGATCTCAGGAGACCTTGCCTATGAACCTCCACCTCTGTGCCCCTCCTGGTGGTGGGGCTTCCTCGTTCAGCGGGCCCCTCTAGTCTTGCCCCGGAAAAGGGAGTGGGTTTGGGAAGCATTGCAGCGAGGAAGAAGGGGGTGGTGCACTTGGAGTTATGCTAGCCACCTCTTTTGGTGGGGTTTGCAACCTCATGGCTTCCCTGATTAGTTCTGGTGTGGGGGCTCCATTCCACTCTTCTCGGTTTGCCCCGCGGGGCATTAGTGTTCGCCAGGGTATCCGGCCAGCCTCATTTTCCGTGTGCCCACCTCCCTCCTTTGATTGCTGGGAGGAGGCTGTCTGATATTGCCGGGGGTCTGGGTATAACCGATCTCCTTGTCGTCCGTGGTTTCTCTGTCCACGGGAGCGGCCTCTCGTATATGCTGCTCGGGATCCCGGGATTCCCTTTGTGCCGCTCCCATTGGTGTATGTAACGGCTGGTTCTAACGCAGCTACATTGGCAGCGCTTTCTTTTTTTATAGTGGGCTGGGGTCCAGAATGGGTGGTTATCTGTTGGACCAAACCCTTAGTTCCCCTAGGGTAGCTGGGTGACCCTCTTGCCAAATTCCAAGTCTCCCGGAGTAGTAGGGGGTTAAAGAAGCAGCACAATCGCTTAAGGACTGTATGCTGAATGCCATTGTATCCAGCACGGTGGCGTTGCCCACCGGTGTTAAGCCGGCCATTATCTGCATCAGACCCCATCGGGTTAAATCATTCTTGGGGTCCTCATTGGGCTCTTGGGTTCCGGCTACGGCTTGTGCTATGAAATTGCGCCTGCCTATTTGCTCCCCAAAAAGTCCCATTAAAGTCAATATGCTGCTGTTCTCGTCGACTCTAATCCTGTCTAGGACCCCCCGAATCTCTGAAACCACGCAGACGCCCACCAAGGCATCAGACTTCAGTGGCATTCAGCTCGTCCCTTATTGTGAGCAAAACCGCATCAGAGCACCGCCTGGAGAAATTGTCCTTTTTTAGGGGTCCCAAATGATCGGCCATGGCTTTTAAGTCAGCGGCTGATACAGGGACAGTGGGGACAGTTGTATTTCCCCCTCCCTCTGCAGGTATTCTGACTGTAGTTCATCGTAGGGCTGCAATAGGGTTTTGTTCAATAGGTTCCAATCCCTGGGGCTCATCCCATATATCTCCATTCCAAGCTTCGCTAGGATCCCGTTCTCCCTCCCATTCGGGGAGCTCACCGTATCGGGCTTGGTCCCATTCTCCTGCCATCACGGCCGCTACTTGGAGGGTGGCAAACCCCAATTTTGTTTTGAGACGTTTCATAATAGATTCACAGTGGTTGTGATTGGCAGGGGCTCTACCTTGTTCTAACCTTAGCTTCTTTATCATTCCCTGTAAAACCTGATTCTCTTTCGTATTTTATCATTGTCCTCGATCTGTTCAGTGAATCAGTATTTTCCATTTATCAGTTTCTCGTTCAGATATACCAAGCGTCTCATGAAATGCGGTGTTTTCCTCTTGGCAGCTAGCCAAGCGGAGGAATGCCTCATTGCATGCTTCCCACAATAGCCAAATTGCAGCCAAGTCCCTTTTTATTGGGGTCGAAGGCCTGTAGACCAACAGATATTTTGCCAATCTATCTTCCAAATCAGCTAATGCTTGTTCAGTCCGTGGGCTGGGCCCACACTTTTGCAAAATTGTCTTAAAAGGAGGAATGGCAATTTTTTCTGCTCTTCGTGAGTTTTGTCCCTAGGGGACTCTTTTCGCCTGAGCATATTTTCTTTATGAATCTCTTTTATCTGTATAACTTTTCCGTGCCCACGCTCGTGCTGGGATTTAAAAGAAAAACAAAGTCTATACCCACTAAAAACTCTGCCTGACCGAGCAGGAGCGGGGAACGCTAAGCCCCCTACCTCTTGGGCTCAATCTGCTATGACCGAGGGTATATTCAGCTATGCAATTTTTCCCCGACAGACGGGTAGCAGCAAGGACTCTAATCCTCCCCCTTATGGCCCGGCCCCTCTACGACCGGGGGTGTATCTACCTAGACAGTTTGTATATATTTCATTTGTATAGTTTTCCCCGACAGATGGGTCAGAGCGAGGACTCTAATTCTCCCCCTATTGCCCGGCACGTCTACGACCGGGGGTGTCCACACCTGAATGATCGATCGCTTTATACTGTGATAGACTCAGGACAGACAGTTGCAAGGGGGGGGGAGGAGAAATCCATCTCAGAGGGTTGAAAGGCCCTCCTCCCTATCAACTGGGGGGGGGGGTAACTACAGGTCAATCAGGTTCAGCTGAGAAGGGGTTACCAGAGTATCAATTCGAATCAGCTGAGAGGGAGCTACCTGAAGTCAATTAGGACCAGCTGATTCCAACTTAGGGCTGCCCGAGACCTTTTTAAACCCTCCCCTGGCGGGGGAGGGAGAACAGGAGAGAGAGAAGGAGTCCTGCTGCCAGTAGGTTAGGAGCAGCAAGACAGTGAAAGGCTGCATTCCCTCCCATAAGTGAGAAAAGCAAGCTGAAAAGACTGGTGGAGAGAAGGAATGGACTTCCCCTGTGCCACCAAGAGGGACTATTTTACCCAAGCCTGTCTCGCCAGGGCTAAAAGCAGTGGAGGCTGGGGAGAGCAAGAAGGTGCCTTGCCACAATCACAGTGCACAGTGACACTACCTGAGAAGGAGATTGTCCAGGCCCCTCCACTCTCATGCTCCAGGGTGGATGCTGGGCCCAGCTGGGTCAGGAAGGAATCAATGCCCCACTCCATGGGAGAGGGTCGCTCTGTGGGTGGCACTGTGTGTGTGTGTGGGGGGGGGGGATGCCCTACTCTGCTCTGAACTGCTGCTCCAGGGAGGCTAGATGGACCTGTTGGAAAAGGTCAGGGCAGCCTGGTCACCTCTTGATGGCTCCTGAGATTCCCCCGTTCCCAGCTGGTCTCGAGACTGGGCAGCTCCCATGTGGGGCTGGGAGGTGATGGAGGTTTGGGGGACCAGGCAGCTGCATGAGGGGATGTGGTTTGCTGGGTGTCACAGGGATCTGGCTTTGCTCTGACTGTGGTAGATTTGGGCTGGAGATTGCAGAGAAACCATCTGATGGGAAGAAAGGGGCCGAGCGCATCAGGGGTTTCCTGGGGCTGCAGCCCCTGGCGCAGTTCCTCATTCTGCTCGCACTCGGGCCTCAGGCTTGGTGGAGCTGGGCACTGGGGTGTTGGTGGCAGCACTTAGGGACCCCCACTGCCCCATCATGGCATCTGCTCTCACCATCCTCCTTCTTGGTGAGTATCAAAGACAGCCAGGGCGTGTGCCCACAGGGGCATGGATCTGAGACCAGGGCGTGTGCCCATGGGGAGCGGGGATCTGAGACCAGGGTATGGGATCCAGTTGCTCTGGGATCTGGTCACTAATGAGCTGTCTCCTCTCCAGGCTGCTGGCTGGCTGGGCACAGCGGAGTGTGGGGAGGTGAGTATCAGTCTGTGGGGAGGACGGTAACATCAAGGACAGGGAGGGGATGCGTTGGGGGGGGAAAAGAGGAACTGAGCCCTGAACCATCCCCAAAACTCAACCCAAACTCCACCTGTGAGCTCAGACCCATCCCTGTTTTTCTGTGCCTCCCCAGCTCCCCCGACCCCATGGAGTAAGTAGGAGCTGAACGTGGCTCCGGGGGTCTGACGAAGCAGACAGAAACTGTCACCTGGTTCAATGTCGTGCCCTTCCCCCCCCCCCCCCCCCCAGACTGTGAGGATCAGGGGAGGGGTGGCACGTGGATTTCTTTCAGCTCATACAAATGCTAACAGGGCCCATCCATGGACTCTAGATCCCCTCGGGGTAACTGAAACTGTTCACAGTCAGTGCAGCCATGGGGAGAAGCCACCAGATCCACCCCTGCCCCCAGATCCACCCCCCACAGCTCCCTCCCCTGCACTCACAGGCCCACATTCCCAAGGCCTGGGGAAAGGTGGGTCTTGTGTGACCCGTGCCCGTCACAGACTCTATTTTCAACCCCAGGGTGGGGGGCCCACTGGTCAGGCTCCCTGGCTGGCCTCAGGAGGGGTTGGGAGGGGGGCAGGTGATCTCTGATGCAGCCGGGTCCTGAGCTATGTCTGGGTGAACCCCCTGCCCCCAAGCCCCATGGGCAGCCAATGACAACCCTGGTAGGGGACAGACTCCTAGAGGCCAAATGATGGATGGACTGAATTGGGGCGGGGGGAGGCAGGGGGCTGTGTCTCCCCTGTTTAACTCCTGTCTCTTGTTGAAAGCAGGGTGTGAATTTCGCAAACCCACCATCTGGGTGAGCCCCAGTAGGGTGGTGGCGCTCGGGGGAAGCGTCACCATCCGCTGTGAGGGTTCGGACCCGGGCATGGAGTTCTTTCTGCGTAAAGCTGGACACCTGAATCCGCAGGCGCAGTCAGTGCCTAATGGGACCGTGGCTGAATTTCCCATCCCCAGTGTCAGCCGGGAAGATGGAGGGAATTACACCTGCGACTATCGCTCCATAGCAGAACAGAATCACACATCGCATCCCAGCGACCCCATCAAGATCATTGTAGGAGGTGAGGGAGGGGCCTGGCTCAGCGTCCCGGCTCCCAGCTCCACACCTAGCCAGATCCTCAGGGGGTCTCTGCACCAATGGGACACTCAGAGCCAGGCTCTGCCCTGAGTCCTGGGCCCAGCAGAGGGGACGCCCGGCTGGGGAGCGGGGACGGAGTCACTGGGGGGTTCCCCAGCCAGGGGGGAGAAGCAGCCACTGGAGATTTGGGTCAGAGGAAGGGGGGATCCGTGTCCCCAGGGGAGATGCAGAGCGGGGGTGCCTTTCCCAGGCAATACATCAGTTACAGGGTGATGGGCAAAGCTGAAGGTTATAAACCTCAGTGTATAGTAGAGACTTGCACAGTCCCCTACAAGTCAGTGGCGGTGCTGTGCACAGAACCCAGGAGTCCTGGCCCCCATCCTCCCTGCTCTCCCCGCTAGACCCCACTCCCCTCCTAGAGCCAGGGACAGAACCCAGGAGTCCTGGCTCCCCACCCTCCCAGCAGAGAAGCCAGGGAGTGACTGGATCTTGGACTGGCCTGTCACTCACTAGAGAGCAGAGTTCTGGGCCCCCAGGGGCTGGGGTTGCTCCATGTCTCATGCTGTTAGCCCAGCCCTCAGAGGAAACTCTGGGCCCCTGTGGAAAGGCATCTCATGGCTTGTCTGCTTCCCACTGCAGAGCCCATCTACCCCAAACCCAACATCTACCCGAGCCGAAGCAGGGGGGTCTCCTTGAGGGGAACTGTGGCGATCTGGTGTGAGGGGCAGCGCCGGGGCATGCGGTTCGTGCTGAATAAAGAGCGACGCCATTTCCAACCTATCGATGCGACTGGGTTTATGGTTGTGTTTTCCCTGAGCAACGTGAGCCGGGAGGACGGGGGGAGCTACCGCTGCTACTATCACAGCATAGTGGATCCGTTCAACATGTCATACCCCAGCGACCCCATGGAGCTGGTGGTGAGAGGTGAGGGTCCCAGCTCGGCGTCCCCATTCCCAGCCCCACCCCCAGCCAGACCCACACGGGGGCTTGGTGCCAATGGGACGCTCAGAGCCAGACTCTGCCCTGAGCCCTGACCCCGCAGTGGGGACATCCGGCCGTGGAGCGGGAATGGAGTCACTGGGGTGTTCCCCAGTCAAGGGGGACCAGGAGCCACTGGAGGTTTGGGGCAGAGGGAGGGAGGATTCCTGCCTCCAGTGGCAGCTGCAGAGAAGGGGACTTTTCCAAGGGGGATGCTCCCACGGGTTGCTCCCGTTCTTGGGACCCATAGAGGAGTTGGGGCCTGGGGGGGCAATAGCTGTGGAAACAGGTCATAGTCCCCAGGTGTGTGTGGGGCCCAGACATCGGGGGGAAGGTCAGCTCCAGAACCCCAGCTCCCCTGATGCCTCCTGCTCTGCTGGTCGCTGCCTGGAATTTGCTGGGGGATGCCAGGGAAGGGGCAGGATCTGGGGGCCTGGGCTCTGAAATTGGGCCCAGCTTGGTGCCAGAGTCCTCGGGCAATAACCCCCCCTTTTTGAGCCACATGACATCGCCCTGGGAATAGGAGTGAGCATTTCCCAGAATTCCCTTGGTTCTTGCTTCCCCTCCCCACACTGGTGTCAGGGGACCTCCTGACCCTCCCCAGTAGATGTTCTGCTGCCTCTGGCTGCACCCTGGTCCCCAGGGCCCTGGGCACCACTCGAGTGTGGGGGACAGCAGTTAACATACCAGCCTCCCCCAGCGCGCACTGCCTGGCTGTTTGTCAGCAGCCAAGATACCCCGGGGATGGGCTCACTGCACAGCAGACAGGCTGCGGCAGAGGCACCTGTAGGGATGGACAGAAGGGTCCTATGGGGACAGGGAGCTGGGGTGGTTCCCTGTTCTGGGGGGCTAAGACCCTGCGGCTCTGATTGTCCCCATCCCCTGGCCCTGTCTTGAGGTGCCAGGTGTCTCAGCGGGAAGTTCATTCACCTGGGAGCCCCCTTCACCGGGGAACCTGAGGCTCAGCCCCCCAGGGCAGCAGGACGCAGCCTCCCCTGAGGAGTCCGGCCCCGGGGAGGCCCCAGAGCCACAGCCCCTGGGAGACCTCCAGAGGCAGCTGGGCTGGACCTGCCAGAACGGGAGGTTGGGGACTCTGCTCCTGGGGCAGTGCCAGATGCTGATCTCCCCATCTGGGCTGCCGAGTGACTCTTCCCTTCCCCCCACAACAGCCCTCCCAGGGCGCCTGGATTTCACCAACGCCAACATCGCCCGTCTGGCACTGGGCGCTGTGGTCCTTCTTGTCCTGGGGCTGATCCTGGCTGAGGCCTATTACAGCCACCCAAAGGAGGAACCCTTATACAGCCGTCCGAGGGGGATATCCTAGGTGAGGTGGACCCCCCCTTCTGTGCCTCTGCTCCCCCTAGGGGCTGGGCCCAGGGCGACATGGGCCCCTCTAACCCACTATCCCTCTGCACCCCCAGGAGTCTGGATCCGGCCGTGTAGGGAACAGAATCTCCGCAGGGGACAAGCCTCTTTCCCGTGGGGGGCTGAGATGCCTGCACAAACCACGCCTGCCCCCAAACACCCCTGCCTTGGAGAATCCCAGTTCCTGACCTAACAGCGTCTCCCCAGGATTGAACCCCCGATGCTGTGTGTGATGTTGCACTTCATATGTTTATGGAAATATGCTTATGAGTGTAAATATAATGTAACTGGAATATGCTTTATACAAAAGGTCTTTTGTAAGGTATCATTACAAAGCTTATAATCTTCTGAGTGTGATCATCCTATTTGTATGAATGTATCAGTCGTGTATCTAAAACTAGAAATATGAAGTTAACTCTGAAGTCCTATTGTAATTATGAAAGTTTGGGCCTTTTAATGGTGGTTTAGAATTTGATGGCACCCATTGACTAGAACAATGGCTGTAGATGGTTTATTTACCTGCAAGCCTGCTTATGGATGTGGGGACCAGCCTGTGGGTAATGAAGAATGAGGTCTCACAGGGACTTGTGACCATGTCACCTGATACTGGAATCCATCTTAAACCTGGTGCTTTTCCATTTAGAGGGAGGGGTGGCAACCCAGAGAGACAAAGGATTCCCGCCTTGGGCCAAAACTAACTAACAAGGACTGTACCGGGGAAAGGATTGGGCCAAGACTAGGAAGGAGTCTAGTCTGTGAAAGTGGGGGGGTCAGCTTTTGTGGCCTGCATCATGCAGGGGGTCAGACTAGATGACCATATTGGTCCCTTCTGACCTTAAAGTCTATGAGTCTATGAGTCTATGAAAGAAGCTTATTGGAACATCTCTGCGGGTGAGATTTATCTGTATTCAGTTTCTTAATGTATTAGGCTTAGACTTGCATGTTTTGTTTTATTTTGCTTTGTAACTTACTTTGTTCTGTCTGTTATTACTTGAAACCACTTAAATCCTCCTTTTTATGCTTAATAAAATCACTTTTGTTTATTAGTAAACCCAGAGTAAGTGATTAATACCTGGGGGAGCAAACAGCCATGCATATCTCTCTGTGTTATAGAGGGCGAACAATTTATGAATTTATCCTGTTTAAACTTTATACTATACAGAGTAAAATGGTTTTATTTGGGGGTTTGGATTCTGTGATGGTACCTCCCATAAGGCTTTATGGAAATATGCGTAGAATGTGTTTTATGTTACATATGTCATGTAACATATCTCAAAGGTTATGATCTATTGAATGTATTAATCCTATTTGTATTTGAAGTTATGAATGTTGGCTGTGTACTGGCTTGATTTCTAAATAACCTTAGTAGAGCATTTGGTCAGTTCCTGGAGAAAGGAATGTTGAAATTAAGTACCTAATCAAGAAACCATTAAAGGACAATGGATCTTGGCATACTCCAATCCACATAAGAAGTCTACTTGAGGACGTTCTAGGTAGCATGTAAACAATGGCTGCTACCTGTAAAAACTGTGAGTCATGTATGGACATGTGACCTGTCCAGGTGACTCCTAAACTCCATCTTGGAGCTGGACTTTGCATAGAAGTGAGGAGGGGTTCTCCACCCACAAGAGAGAGTCTATTTAAACCCCTCCATTTTGTCTTCAGCTGGCTAAAGAGGGAGCCTCTCCACCCCCCAGGATACTTGAGTAGTATATCCCTCGATAGCATTCATCACCATGCATTTTTGACAGGTTTCCACGCCCCATTTAGGGCTTATGTCCCGCCTTTCCACCCCATTTCCGTTGGCACCAAAGTTTGATGCCATTGGCCATTTTTAGTGTGTGTGTGTGTGTGTGTGTGTGTTTGACTAGGGGAAGTGTTGTGTGTGCTTGTGCTTGGATACATTGAGAGAAAAAGGTTGAAAGAATAGAGAGAGAGAGTTTAAAGATGAAAAAAGAAAGTTTGGGTAAGATTTAGAGAAAAAGGGAAAGAAAGGTTATTGGATGTGGTTGAGTCAGGAGAGATGTTTGTAAAGGGCTAGTTATGAAAGAATAGAAAGAGATTTTTGTTTTTAAAGTTCTTAAAGAAAGGAGAGATGATGGTAAAGGCCTTGTTTGGTAGGCTATTAAAGAATAGAAAATTTTGAGATAAATGTAAAAGGCGTATTAAATATCAGGGTGGGTTAAGAAAAAAATTAAATAATATTGAAAACTAGGTTTAAAAAGCGAATTTACTAAGGCAGAGCCTGTTTAGTAAGCACATGGTAAAAAAGTGAATAAAAA